AGCTCACACTGTTTACTAAAACATTCTCTAAAAATGGATTCCTTGAATAACCATAAACTGTAACAGAAACTGTATTTACCCCTTGTGAAAGCTCCTTATATTCTCATGCATATATGAGAAAACGTACATCAACTCGGCTATCATAAGTGCTACATTGCCTGAGGCAAGAGGGACCGGTTTAGTATGCAAATGAATCAAACCTAGTGTATCATTTGACAGGCTGCTCAACATGAGGTAATCATGCTCTGTAGTGACAAAAACATATTTTAAGAGAGTCCAAAAAATTTGAATTACCTGAGGTTATAGTCATTTACAAGTCAGTTCCAGATCTCATACCTAAAAGGCAGAATGCATGAAATGAACCGTTTGGTTCCCCACTGAGAAAACACCAGGAACTTGTGTCTCTGGAGGCCGAAAGGAGGAATTCTTTAACCTGTTTGTAGCTGCTGTATTTAATGCTTAATTTGAGGGCTGTATGTTTATGCCATAAGCATAATCTGTTCATCTTACGTAATTTAAAATGCACAGGTTCCAGGGACAAGCCTGAACCTGGTTACCCAGGTTAAGTCAAGAGAAACTGTTCACTTTAAACAGTGCAATTACGCAACCTGCTGTCAGACAGATATCAAAATGTCAACACTCCACTCTCTTTCTTATAGAATTTCCTACATGGTGGGGATTTGTGAGTTACTGGCATTGCTGTACTATCTACAGTTATGACTAAAAAGTGATTTAATGTCTGTTGATAGACACTCTTCTGGTCACACAGGCTAGTCCAGTGGCTCAGCACCTTTTTCCTCTACCTTTTCAAATTGACAATTTGAGCTACGGATTGCCACCTAGTCTTGAGGACAGTACTTGAAAACATGCAAATATAAACAAATGTAAACAAAGGGCAATATCAGAGGCATCCAAACAATGCAGCAACTCAACTATACACAGCACTGACTCCTCTGAGTTGAGTAAATTGTACCGTAAAACCTATTTCTAAAGCTTTGCTAAATAAATACATAAATAAACACTACAAAAACAGATGTACTCACATTTTTTAGGGTTATCTCATGAATCCCACAATATTCTTATTTCACCACAATGTTAAAACAAACTAAATAAACAATAAGAACTATCATTACTTTAATTTGAAACAATTGCATTATTTCATTCATTATCCTTATTGTATTTTACTTACTGTAATCTGGGGAAAAACATTTTATGTAAATGATCAATTACATGTCATGGTAATGCTTTTAATATATGTAAATTGAAAAGAATGATTCTATTTTAATAATGTTTGCAGAAACATAATGTCACAGTGCAACAATTTTAATGGTTCTAAAACAGTCTTTTCATTTTGTGGTGAAATGTGACCTGGTAATTTTGTAATACGTCTAAAAATTGCACATAGTATTACTAGTATTTCTAAATATGACCCTGAAGGAGGATAACTTGTGTTTATTTGTGCTTGCTATGGTTACAATTTTAACTTGGTGCAATAAATGAATTGCATTCATTATTGTCAAATTCATAATCTGTTGGGAGCTTAAAAGCACATGCGCCAAATATCACAGACGATATCACTGTTATACAAGACTTTGTATATCTGTTCTTTGTGATAATCAGGAGGTTCATGAAAAACTGCACCTTGCCAAAAACAACCTCTAACAATCCCATCACAACAAAAAAAAAAGAGAGAGACTGTTTCTCTAAGCAGCTGGAGGGAAACAATACACCGACATACAACACTTTGCTTTCATGATCCTTAAATGCAAATATACAATTACGGCCAATGTTATGTCACATCGTTTTCTACAGAGCTGTGTTTCTAAGTCTAAGCATCCAAGTTAACTAATTGGTAACTCCGATCAGAGACTGATGGAACATGGAAATTCTGTGTTAAAGTTTGAGTTGGCCAGATTCATTCTCAAACTGTGCCAGCAATATCTTACCAATACCTTTGATCCATATTTGCTGTCCAAAGTAAAGCTCTTTCGTGGGTGGACAGATCTGCTAAATCCCAAAGCGATATTTCTCCCGATTTAGCGCATTGCATATATCCACAGGGATTACCGTCAGTCATCGTGTATCCTTTAAATTCTCTTCTGTTAGGTCAAACCTATTCCTCCACTTTTACAGGCCAAACCCGTATTCCCTCGCACACAGAGAGCTTCAGAGGCCAGACTTACAACAGGGGGTTCAGAGGGGAACACAACCTTTCTATCATGTTAGAAGAGCAGATGTGAACGTTAAGGCTCTTGGCAGGCAGTATACCGAGATAAGCAGCATCAAGGCATGCTTAAATTCAATGTTTGCATAACATTCTACTAAGGTACCTTCATCTGTTTGCTTTTTGAAGACAGCTTAGATATATCCTTCGCTGCCTATTATATCTCAATTCTTTGGCGGTTGATAGAAGGAATAAAATAGAACTTGATAGAGCAAATGAGACTCATAACTGATCATTTAAAAGAATGTCGCTTTAAAGACATTTTATTATGCTCTTTTACAATGTCTTGAATTTGTTTTGGGGGTGTACTAGAACATGCTCTCATGCTTGGTGGTTCGAAAAACGCATTATTTTTTACATAATTTACATTATTACAATACCTTTCTCAACCAGCCGGGCACAAACGGCTCGATTAGTTCCTGGTTTGATGAAGGCCCGCCTTCCGAAAAACTAAATGTTTTGTGATTGGTTAGGTATCCCAGTGCTTTGTGATTGGTGAACAGCTTAGACGGTGTTCAGTACTGCCCCGCCCCTTGCCAAAGCAGCAAGTTCCGTCTGCTCCGGTTTAGTTAAGGATGGCGTCAATATTGCCATATAAATTTGAGCCGGATTCAGACCCAGAGAACATTGAACAAGAGGATCGCGCAAGAACCTTTGCACGCACAGATATTGCAAGACATATTAGAGTGGTAACGTTATTGTTGTTGTTTTTTTTTGGCTAAATCACGTTTTAGATAGGATGTCAACAACCGCTTAAAAATAACTGCATTTACTATGTACAGATAAGTGCATATGTATTATTTTTATTGTTATTTAATTCTAACATTATAACATGAATTGCAGTGAAACTGTAATACAGTTGAATTTATTTATACCATAGTCCAGTGTTTCCCAGGCGGCATATATATGCAAACTCATTCTCTGCTGTTGGAGTGGCAGAGATCAAGGTTTCCCAGGTAACGGCTGTACACAAAGCAGTGCTTCGCTCAAAAAAACACTGCCAATCCAAATTTCTGAAGACAGTCGGTTTCCTTCAGAAATACAGTGATATAAAAACACCCGCACTCAATGTATAGGAAACACTGTAGTCTCATAATTGAAGTGTAAATTCTGCAGATTACATCATTGTCCAGTATTGTACTATCAGCAATTTATTATAAAAAAACGTTTTCATAATTGTAACGTACATATTTACATACATAATTATTCAGGTGCATGTGTAGTAACTTGTGAAAACTTGAGGCTACAGCAGCACTTCTTCGTCGTCGTCTTGTCTGATGCACTCAGCCCACGATCTCGCCCCTCCCCACCCCCCAACCATTCGAATTTCCGTAGGCGGGAATTATTTTAATGATATTCTAATGGGCCGCTTTTTGATATCACAAAACCCGGAAAACAAACGCTGTAGTCCAAACGAGCCGTTCGTTGTAGTTCTTGAAAAGGGATTTAAAAAAAAACGAAATATCTCTCTTTGGAGTGGACTTTGAGATTTGTAAGTTTGAAGATCTTTTTTATGCCCAAACATACACAAAGGGGTATTCAAATACGTCTGTGTGTGCTTACAGAATGTATGAAAACAGTACAGTTAAAGTGACTAACTGGGAGGTTTCCTACGTGACATGATCTCATCCGTATCAGAATTTAGAGTCTTATCGCTAAGAGAGAGGCTCTCAGGCTCTCCTGCGCATTTCTGAGATGCCGTGGAACTTTCTGATGGGTGGGGGGCAAACAGGGCTTCTGTCCAGGTGTCCCTATTGCTGCACTCCACCCCAAATGCTTCCTGAACCTCATCCTACTCCCTTTCTAAGCCCTACACCAGACTTCCCTGCTTTCTGCTTTCCCTCTTTTTCCAGTTGCCGTGCTCTCCCTCTCTTTCTGTCCTAGCTGTCCTCCAAAACTCAGTGGAAACTCTGATTGGAGTTGTGTAGGGTCATGCCTGGCCTTCCTTCCTATCGTCTCACTATTCTTCAGCCTTTATGATTGTCTCCAAAAGGGAAAAGAGGGTCGGTACACAATGTTTTTCACAACAGATGTTCTTGTCCCCTTGTGTCATTTAAAAAAGCATGCATCCACACTACACAATTCATATTACAAGCTGAGCAGAATGACCTTAATGATGTTTGCAACACTGTATAATCTTTTAAAAGACAAATTCCAGAAACTATTAAAAAAGTTCAGGCTCACTGTACTTCTAAACCCCTTCATACTGACCAATGCAAAGCCATAGACAAATGGCTGAAGGTGTCCTGTTGTACATTTTAAGTAGTGTTTTTTTTTTCCACTGGGATTTTAATTTGGCCAGGATACTGGCTATTAGAGACATTTCAGAGTACCAGAGACAGTGACTTTTCTTTTTTCATGTTCATTTGAAGTACTTCATTAGATTCATGTCATTTGCTACTAAGCTATGGACCTCACCCTGAAGCTTTTACCCTTTTCTAAAAGGCATTTCGATAATCTTAAGACCTTCTGAAAGGCATTAGTATGATGTTATGTAGAAACAATTAAAGATATCTCCCACAAACACATGACTGCTCTATGTGTCATCAGCATTCTTAGACTCCAGTTGTCTAGACAACCAAATACAAATCTTGTAGGCAGCAATTTCAGCACTGACTTTTACCATTGAAACCATTTTACAACAATAACATTTATTAATTCTGAGCAGCAGTATTGGCAGAACTGTGTATATTATAGGCAATCATATGTGGTGTGAAAATAATGCTGTATGTGAACTGAAAAATTTATTAGATCTTTTTCATTTTTTCTTGTGCAGGAGGAAAATGAAATCCCTTCAAGTGTCTTTGTGAAGGAACCTGCACCATTACTTGAAGTGGAGGAGAATGCCAACCGTTCTCAAGAGGAGGGCCTTCAGACCATCACCCTCTCCTCGGATGAGGAGCAGGGACCAGAAGAGGATGAAGATGAAATTTTGGCCATTTTGGACCTCGAGAGTGAAAGCAGAGTTGAAAAATCTCGAGCTGAGAAGATCAAGAGCTCCAGCCTGAAGAAAGTGGACAGCCTGAAGAAAGCTTTCTCCAGGCAGAATATTGAGAAGAAGATGAACAAGTTCAGCACCAAGATTGTCTCCCCAGAGCAGCGTGAGAAAATCAAGAAGAGTCTGACACCAAACCACCAGAAGAACCCTAGTGCCAAGAGCTCCTCTTTCAAGGTCTCTCCTCTCACCTTTAACATCAAGAAGAACCGCAGTGGGGACGCCGACCCAGAGGCTGAGGCCTCAGCTCAATCTGAGAGCCCTGTTGCCTCCATTGAACTGGCCCCCATTGAGAGCCCAACTGAAGACCTGTCCTTCAGAGAGGTCCACTCCCAACTTGCACCAGCACAGGAGGAAACAGTAAAGGCAGCTGTGGAAGCAATGGAGAAAGAGGAGGTGCCTAACATCCTGAATGGCACAGCTGAGGTTGAGCTGTCCATCACAGAAGATGTAAGCGAGGAGTATGCTCTTTCTGTGACCCTGCCCCAGGACGCCTCCAAGAAAGAAGTGTCCCACAATGCTTTACAGGGAGACGATGAAGAGGAAGGAGAGCAGGAAGAGGGAAAAGAAAGTGAAGACAGCCCTCTAGCAGCAGCTGCAGGCCAAGCAGAGGGTGTTGCTGTAGGACAAGCATCCTAATGTCCTGACCCTCCATTCCAGCCCCAGGACACCCTCCTAAGCTGAGAAAACACTCTGTCCCTTATCAGTGCCAGCCATCCCCGCCATGAACCCAGACATCTGCCCTGTCCTCTAAGAATACACTTACAATGCAGTCTATTCAAAAGGCAAAATTCATGAACTATATGACATTTGCTTTAAAATCCCATATCACTTTAGTTAGTCCCTAGTCTTTTAGCAGAAATGAATGTGAAAGCAGTCTTATCTGTCCATCTAATCCAACAGTCTGTTACAAACCTTCCACTTGTGAGAAACCATTCCAGCTGGTATTACTGCACACTCTATCTTCCTCTGGTGGTGCCTACCTGTCAGCTGAGAAGGTTGGCAAAGGAAAACAAATCGCTTACAGCCAAAGGAGTCAACGGTCGCCAAGTGCACTCCATCTATCCCATGGACACTTTTTTTAACAGTAGCCTGGTTTTCATCCAATGCATCTCTTCTGGAACAGCCTGTGCACAGCTGAAAGTGATATTGATTTCACGCAACCTAGATTATTTCCAATCTTGGTCCAATTCGGTTTTGTTTTTGAGATTAAACAGCACATATCTACTGCCATGTACTATGTCTGTGTTGATCAAAAATGTGTAATGTACTCAATTTTACATTTTGGTTTTAATCAAGTCACACTATGTATACTGTGAACTCATTAATACAGAGACCAAAAGATGTGAGAAAGCTAGTTGGGAAGTGTTTTGTCCAAAACTATACTAAAAATATAATTTCTGAATTCTAGAATTTTGCTTTGTAGTGGCTAATAAACATTTAGACAACCTTTTTCTTTCCTGAGAACACACCATGCTCACATACATTTGCTTTGAATCATGAATGCAGTTTACATGGGGGATCCTGGTCTTCCCTGAGCTTCACATATGTCTCGGACCATAGTCAGAAAGCATTCCTGCTTTTGATATACGGCTCTTTTCAGAGACCATTTCTCAAGCTCCCGTTGGCATGATGCTGGCTGAGAAACAGGCACTGTGAGGCCAGTTTAGATTACAGGCATATTTCTGAAAGTGATGAAGGATTCGATCAGCCCAGCTGAATGCAAATAAGCCAGAGAAGTGTGGAGATCTGAAAAAGTACAAAAAAAGTGAAAATCTGTTTGGAGTGTTGAACTGAAGTTTCGAAATGTGAGAACTGACTAACACCAAGGGCAAATACCCATTTCATCATTTTAGAATAAATACAATTTACTGATATTTGTGCACACTTTAGCAAAATTTGTCGCTATCATGCAAACCCAGAAATAAAATGGTGCTGTTGAGGGACAGTACTGAAAAATATTTGAGCAATGAAAGTACTTTTTCCTGAAAGTTTGGTCCTTATTAGAATATAAAACATACAAGTAACATATGTATGTCAAATGTATTTTTGTGTTTTAATAGAAATTTTGTTGCTTTCTGCAAATAATTCGAGCATATTTTTAATTTCAGTATTCCAGTGCTGAACAAAAACTTAAGTGTGTATCTTTGCTTTGGGTGGATGTCTTTTTCAGATGTGAAAAGGGATGAGGTTTTACGTCTTTAAAAATATAACAAATTTGAACTAATTTTTGCTTATGCTTGTAATCCCTAATCTTTATTTGCATATCTTTTAAGAAGTTAATTGCGTCAGTGTCTTCATAATATATATGAGAGCTATATGTTGTCTTGGTTATCATATTTTAAAACCATTATGATTCATGCCAAAGAAAAGGCTCAGTTACAGCAGAGACCTCATAACGTTTCTGTGACACCTGTTTACCAAGTTGTTATTGAAGCACGCTCTTTTCAAAATATTCTTTTAATGCAAATAAATAAAGATGTTGGACCATGGCTTTTTGTGTCTGTCTTGTTCCTTAGAATCATTAGTATCCTTTTCAAAGTCATTTTTTAAAGCAATCCGTTTTCATCTGACAGAAATAGCCTCTAACCTACTTTGATCAATACGTTTTCATGTCCAGCCAATTCTAAGTACATCAATATATAAGTGTCTAATTTGAACATGACATGAGTAATTAGGTGGTGTTAAAGGGGTCATGATGCTATTTTAAAGATCATTATTTTGTGTATTTGGTGTAACAGAATATGTTGACATGCTTTAATGTTCAAAAAACACATTATTTTTCAAATACTGTACATTATTGTAGGTCCTCTATGCCCCGCCTCTCTCAAACACATCTTTTTCAACAAAGCCCCCTCCTTTGACAAGTGCAGTCTGCTCTGATTGGCCAGCTGACCCACTGCATTGTGATTGGCCGAACACCACAAGCGCGCGTCGGAAATGTACCGCCCCTTACGATAATCGCAAGCTTCAGCTATCGGCATCGGCCGATAAGTTTTCCTGTTTGGCCGATGCGTTCTTTTATTTTGACCGCGCTGAGAACGGCAGCGCCTGGGCATTTGAAAAAATATGATTAATGCACACAAACTTCCCAGAATACTGCATGCCCTGTTGGTTACAGTGTTTACTTCCTTTTTAATTATATACTTTCCAAGATATCGGCATCGGCAGTCAAAAAAACAATATCGGTCGACCACTCATCAGTAACGAGTCTAATGCTTCTTACCTGCAGTTTCATAGTAATTTGTTGATTTATAACGTCCTTGTCAGTGCATTTTTACCTCTAAAAGAGTTTCACCTTTTACATTTCCTTTATTTAATTCATAACCCTAACCCTAACCCTAAAACAAGCCATTTGCTTGCTCACTAAAATTGCATTTTAGTATAATGATCAATAGATGGAGCGATTACGTAACTCGCATTACTTGTAATGCGTTACCCCCAACACTGTTTATTATTGATAATATTTTTAATCTTGATAATTGTATTCATTTTTTTTATTTGTTCTTTATTATCTTGTTGGTGTAAATATTTGATTTCAGATATGCATCTCTCTTCAAAGGCTGTCTTACACTGTATATTGGAAGAACGGGGGACCTTCAGAAGATCGGAGAGTAAGTCTTCACAGCTGACTGAACTTAAGATCTTTGACACCGAAACAATAACCAGCACTTTCTTGCATCTATCGAAGGTTCTGTATGAATTTCTCAGAAGTGCCAAATTTCAGTGAGCCCAACCCAGAGGTGCTGGCAAAAATCAACCAAATCAACAACACCCAGGTGAGTGCAAAAATACTGCTCAGAGGGCATGAACAGTATGAGCACATAATGAGTGTCTATTTAATCTCTTAACAGGTAAAAACAGAAGCTCATGGCAGCACTCCTAGTATACCGACTCCTGGGCCACCTGCAGGACCTACAGGTTTCTGAATCTTTAGAAAATTGAATGGTTGTTTGACAAATTTGCAAATGATCATGTTTAATTGAACGCTTCTGTTGCCATCCCAGTAATCCAGTGGTTCCCCGCCAGGGGGCCTCAGCATACTTCTCTCTCTCTCTTGATCGATAATTAATTCAAATAAATGCTATAATTCATTCAAATAAAGGTGATCTTACTGCACTATTTTATCTCTAAGTCTGATTTGAAGCGGGCAGAATGCTAGAGCTAACAAAATGACGAAAATAACCGTCATTTTTACCCTTCCAGTCAAATATTGCGCTGCAAACATCATTAACAGCTTTAACTTGTGAATGCTGGCAAATGACCAAGGTATAAACGGGATAATACACGGCTAGCTGTGCATTAAACGATTTTGGTGTATTCACACCTGTCTTGTTTGGTTCGACTGAATCGAACTCAAGTTCGTTTCCCCTCTTGGTGCGGATCTTTTGGGCAGGTGTGAATACAGCAATCGCACTCGGGTGCGGACCAAACAACCTTACCGAGACCCAGCTGAAGAGGTGGTCTCGGTCCGCTTCCAAAGAACTCTGGTGCGGTTGAATGGATGAACCAATGAATGGATGACCTCAAGCACACGTGTTGTTTTGTTTACAATTGCTGGTTCACTTGCAAAAAGAGCAATGTGAAAGTGAACCGCACCAAACAAACAAAAAAAATCAACATTGTATTTGGTCCGGACCAAAGCAAGTGAACTAGCAGACTTTCCTGGTGTGAATACACCCTTTAAATACACTTTGCCGAGGGTGGTTCTTGGCCTCCACGTTGTGCATTAAAATCGTTTGATGCACAGCTAGCCGTGCATTATCCCTTACTTATACCACCTCTGAGCAGCATTAAACAATCTGTGTAAATCTAAATGCCTCTTCAGAAGCATTTCTGTGCCACCTTTGCAGGTGTAAATTTGTCATCAGATTGTCTTAATGGGTGGTTCTTGGCCAGAATAAGCTGTAATATGGACCATCCTTTTCTCTTCTCACAGCAAACGGCTCTGCTGTGTTTTTTCCCTTCTCCTGTCCCCCGAGAGCCCTCCTATGGTGCAGGTGGTGCACGTCATTTGAACCGCAGTCATTGGAACAGTGGCAGTGCTTCTCCAGTTCCAGGTGGAGAACAGGGATCAAAACCCACGGTCACCATCACCAATGGACGGGATCCTCGCCGAACCCTGAAGAGATGAGAGCATATTTGTAGCTACTTTTGTTTGTCACCCTAATTGATGGGTTATTTGATTAATGAATTATATTAACCTTTTCTAGATTGAGATTTTGCAGAATAAAGTATAAATAAAGTCACTTAAAATCATTATGCTTGTCATATTGATTCTTTTTTTTTTTTTTCTTTTTTTTGAGTTTGCACACAGTCTATGAAATCAGATGATTATCATCACTTTTTCTTGTTGGTGTATATAATGTCAAATATCACACTATGGCACTAAGGACTTTGAATATCATCTAACGGAGCCATTTATCACAAAGTGATGGTGCACTCAATGTACAGTCATGGCCAAAAGTTTTGGCAGTGACCAATTTTGTGTTTTGCAAAGTTTGCTGCTTCAGTATTTGTAGATTATTTTCCCGCATGTTTCCATGGTATACTGAAAAATAATGATAAGCATAAGTTTTAACGGCTTTTATTAGCAAAAAAAAAGAGTCAATATTTACAGTGTTGACCCTTGTTTTTCATAACCTCTGCAATTCACTCTGGCATGCTGGATATTAGCTTCTGGGCCAAATCCTGACTGATGGCGATCCATTCTTGCCTTCTTAGTTTTTGGAGTTGATCACAATTTGTGGGCTTCTGCTTGTCCACTCGCCTTTTGAGGACTGACCACATGTTCTCTATATGGGACTGAGATCTGGGGAGTTGCCTGGCCACGGATCCAAAATTTCATTGTAATAATCTTTGAGCCACTTCTTTATCACTCGCTTTGTGACATGGTGCTCCATCATGCTGGAAAATATACGGATCATCACCAAATTGCTCATGGATCGTTGGAAGAAGTCGCTCTTGCAAAACGTTTTGATACCATTTTATTCATGGCATTGTTTTTGGGCAGAATTATGATAGAGCCCACTCCCTTGGTTGAAAAGCAACCCCACACATGGATGGTCTCAGGATGCTTCACTGTTGGCACAACACAGGACTCATTGTAGCGTTCACCTATTCTTCTCCAAACAATTGATTTTCCAGATGTCCCAAACAGTCGGAAGGGAGCTTCAGAGAAAATAACTTTGCACCAGTCTTCTGCTGTCCAATCCTTGTACTTCCTGCAGAATTTCAGTCTGTCCTTGACGTTTTTCTTGGAGAGAAGTGGCTTCTTTGCTGCCCTTCTTGACACCAGGCCGTTGTCCAAAAGTCTTGGCCTCACTGTGCGTGCAGATGCTCTCACACCAACCTGCTGCCATTCCTGAGCAAGCTCTGCACTGAGCTGACTCCTCAGGAGGAGACCGTCCTGGCGCTTGCTGGACAATCTGGGACATCCTGAAGACTTCTTCATTGCAGTCGAACCTCTCTCCTTGAAGTTCTTGATGATCCGGTAAATGGTTCTTTCAGGTGCAATATTCTTTGTAGCAATTTCCTTGCATGTGAGGCCATTTTGATGCAAAGCAATGATGGCTGCATGGGTTTTTTTTTTTTGGAGGTAACCATTGCTAACAAGAACACAATGATTGGAAGCACTTCTTCCCTCCTTTTATAGCAATCAGTCTGCTAATTAGTATGACAGTGATTAACCTGACTAGTACTCATTCACACTTTCACATGTGCTGCTGATATGATTAGTCAATTAATGTTAGCTGGTCATTTTGTGTCAGGATCAAAAACAGTGAAATTTGTTTTTTTTTTGTGAAAAGTACATTTTTTGGCCAATTAAGTCTTATCTAAGGCAGATGCACTTATTTAAAATGCATCTGATCACTCTACACAATAATCTAGAAACAATGTGAATGAACACCACAACAGCCTAAGCAGCAAACTTTGCAAAATACAAAATTTGTCACTGCCAAAACTTTTGGCCATGACTGTATATTAAACTGAGGTGAGAATGATCTCTGGAGTTGGGAAGGTGTAGCTGCATATTTTAAATTAAGGCCCTAAAAACGGAGTTAAAAATAAAAGTTGCAAAAATATTGAATACATCTCTAGAAGTGTTTATGCCAGCTACTGTTGTTTTTCATTATGCAGGGTTTTTCAAGTGGTCTACTGGTTAGTAATGTTTGGTTTGGGCTTCTTTCATTATCATTATTTCTTTATTTAGTCTAGCAGCTAATGCATTAAAGTTTGGCAACTTGTAATGTATCAATGCAAAAGTGCAGTGGTGTATAAAATACCTGAAAGCCATACTCAAGTAAAAGTACAGATATCTTACCAGAAAATGATGTTGGTGGAAGTTGAAGTCACCGTTTAGAATATTACTTGAGTAAAAGTCTTAAAGTATGTGATATTTATTGTACTTAAGTACGAAAAGTATTTTTAAAAATCTTAAACGTACTTAAGTATTGAAAGTAAAAGTACAAGTAAATGCAAAATGGAAAAG